CTCTACTTTACCATAAACGCAAAGGGGCAGTATGCAAAATTCTAATTATCAAAAACGTTATATATTATACCTGAAATATTTCTTTAAAATGCTATTTAGATCAAACGGAATTTGTTTTAAAAGGGTTAAAAAACAGAACGCACTCATTGTTAATTAAGCAGTTTGACAAGTTTTGGTGTTTGGCTTTATAATGACTCGATATATTGAAACCTTGAGAATAAATAGGAAACATAATATATCTCTACAATTAGTCCTTTATTTTGCTTAAATCTGTACAGTAGTCTTCTTAGTCCTACAAAAAACATAACGAGCTTAAAGGGACATTCCGTTATTTTGTGAAAACTTTTTGTGAAAATTGTGAATGTGTGAAAACTATAAACCAAAATCTATAGAAATCTATCCCATAACGTATTTGAAAGTTTTAACTAAAAAATTCAGGCGTTAATTTTTTAACGCCAAAACTTTTCGTAAAAGGTAACCTTTTTATGTTCAATATGCTTTTTGCAAGCTGTTAGAAAACTACTGTACGGATTTGAGTAAAGTAAACGCCTAATTATAGGGAAATATGTCGTCTACGTTTTCTAAAGATTTCAAATAAATATATGGAGCCATTATAAAGCCAATCAATTAATTAACAATTAGTACTCTCAGTTTTTAATTAACCCTTTTAAAACAAATTCAATTTGATCAAGTAGAAACATAGATAAAAATAGCATAATTTAGAAATATTTTCAGGTATAAATGAAATGAAATGAATGGAGTTTTACGTCCTACTTTTCTGCACAATGTGGGCTAATGAAGACAGGCAACGCCATGCAGGGTACAATGAGGAAAATTTTGCCAGGACAGCGGCATTAGCGTGCTCTTTTTCGATTTCCAACTGTCGAGGGATCTTTAACGTGCACAGCCTGTAGCACACGGGGCCTCGGTTTATTGTCCCATCCGAATGACTAGACACTTTCTCCATGTCAGCCCCTCTTACCTGTATCACTGACAGGGGGAAACCGGGTTGAAAAATCCGAAGTTATCATCTCGACCTATGCCGGGATTGAACCCGGTACCTTCAGGTTTTTCAGGTATAATTTACGACATTTTTGATAATGAAAATGTTTTACAAAAAAGGCGGAATGCCCCTTTAATAGGTTTACGTACATTTCTCTGGATATTGCTGTATAGTTTTCATAAATTTTCATAGATTTTCAACCTTCAAAAAACAGAATGCCCCTTTAAATTTACGGTGCTTGCTGGCCCATGGTGATTTTAAAATGATCGCACAATTTCGAATAACTTCGACAGTTTTCAAAATACACATTTTTGGAAAACTTTGTGCAAATTAAACTACAAATTTCCATAAAACTACATATAACGATATTGGAACTCGATTTAATTTAGTGAATGTCTTCCTTGCTACACTGCAGCTCCAGTATATAGGATACCGGAACAAATCCGTCATAAAGAGCTAGATATTTCAATGTAAATGTCGGATCTCTATTGAATCGGATTGTCTTTCCACTACCGATCTGATTTCCAACTCCGAACACAACCTCTAGTGACGCTTCACTCCATGTCAACCAGAATGCTTTAAACCGTTCGGGCTCTAGCGCAAAGTAGTTATCGAAAGTAAATGTTTTAAACTTTATAGCCTTCGATCTTGCTCCAGTCCACGTGTTTCCCCCGCCCCCTACAACTATTTCATACACAAAATTGTTAGAGTGGGTTTCATTAAAAAGTCCGATAACTCCATCATTCCCACCTTTAATCCAGATCATTTTACTGTTCTGATACTGTACGTTATGGAATTCTGTAAAAGTCTTGTCGCTATTTTTAGGCATTTTGATTATTCTGCTAGTAAGTGTATTCATTATCACAATAACATGAAAATAACACGAACTAGAATAGCGTTGTTGAAGAACATTATGATCCTTGAGTATATCACAATATAAACACCAATATCTGTTTCTCTATGAAACTGAAACTTTAGTAGGTTCGTTTTTCTGCTCAGTAACTGTCTATTCCTATAATTTCAATCTGGCTCCTAAATCGTTAACCAATTCTTAATGTCTGTGTTTGTACAACCTTTATATGTTTTTGTTTCACCTGGTTTTTAGATTTTCTTGCAAATATATCAAAAAAGAAAATCCTACTTTTATTGTCCACAACGTTTCACCAAATTACATTGTCATCGTAATTTAATATGGTACAATATTGTACACAACGTTTCAACAATTTACATTTCAATCATCTTATGAATATAACAATTTTGTGCTTTACATTCCAAGCCAAAAACTCCATAAACTACCATTCTATGTATTTTATGGTGAAACTGAATTGTATAGAAATCGGATTGAAACTATAGTCATATAGTTTATTCCACTTGACCGACTCTCAAAGAAAACTCAATGATAGAATTTACAGATAATCGAATGTTCAAAATAAAAAATGTTTACGTAAACTCCAGTGCATTTTTGATAAAAAAAAAGATTTAGTTTTCCTACGAATTATAGTCTGCACGCAGATAAAAGATTTCATAGTAATTTTACAATAGAATGTTTCCTTATCGAACAATGAAGAAATTTCTATTGATATTGTTTTATTTTATCGCAACCAAATATCTTTTTAAGCATTAAAGGAATTGTAAAGAGATTTTCTTTAAAAAAAAATTAGCACTATTTTCAGTCAGACGTCTGTGGTTCCTGCAATTCACGTAATTAGTAGAGAAGGGCCAAGTGTCTTTTGCGATAAGTTACTATCTATAGATATGCTGATATTGGTTGAAAAACATTAACTTCCGGTTTTATAGCCGTCCGCCATTTTGGATAGCTTGGAAGCAACGTTTCTTCTTATAATAATAAGCCTAAGAAAAAAGATTAGGAAATTTATATATAACTTTCAGTACAGAAAGTTTCTTCCTTAATTGATGAGTTGAAAAGAATGGACATAAAATCTAAAGATTAATAAGAGTATAGATTGATCAGTTGGACTTAACAGTTGCCATAACTTGAGAATACAATATCAATATAAGATGAAGATAAATAAGAAAGGTAATATTTTCACCGTTAGTGAATAGTGCTCAATACATCAATTGTAAAGAGATATAGAAGTACCACTGTTAAAAAGGTGCTCTATACATCAATTGTAGAGCAATATAGAAATACCACTGTTAAAATAGTGCTCAATACAACAATTGTAGAGTGATATAGAAATACCACTGTTAAAATAGTGCTCAATACATCAATTGTAAAGAGATATAGAAGTACCACTGTTAAAAAGGTGCTCTATACATCAATTGTAGAGCAATATAGAAATACCACTGTTAAAATAGTGCTCAATACATCAATTGTAGAGTGATATAGAAATACCACTGTTAAAATAGTGCTCAATACATCAATTGTAGAGTGATATAGAAATACCACTGTTAAAATAGTGCTCAATACATCAATTGTAGAGTGATATAGAAATAGCGCTGTTAAAATAGTGCTCAATACAACAATGGTAGAGTGATATAGAAATACCACTGTTAAAATGGTGCTCAATACATCAATTGTAGAGTGATATAGAAATAGCGCTGTTAAAATAGTGCTCAATACAACAATTGTAGAGTGATATAGAAATACCACTGTTAAAATAGTGCTCAATACATCAATTGTAGAGTGATATAGAAATAGCGCTGTTAAAATAGTGCTCAATACAACAATTGTAGAGTGATATAGAAATACCACTGTTAAAATAGTGCTCAATACATCAATTGTAGAGTGATATAGAAATACCACCGTTAAAATAGTGCTCAATACATCAATTGTAGAGTGATATAGAAATACCACTGTTAAAATAGTGCTCAATACATCAATTGTAGAGTGATATAGAAATACCACTGTTAAAATAGTGCTCAGTACATCAATTGTAGAGTGATATAGAAATACCACTGTTAAAATAGTGCTCAATATATCAATTGTAGAGCTACAGACAAATACCACTGTTAAAATAGTGCTCAATACATCAATTGTAGAGTAATCGGGGTACATGCTTGTACAGCTTTAATAAAGGAATCGGGAGCCGCGGTGGCTCAGTGAGTTGATCCTTCGGATCATTCAACCCGGTTTCCACCTGTCAGTGGTGCAGGTAAGCGGAGCTGACATGGAAAAAGCGTCTAGTCGTTCGGATGGGACAATAAACCGATGCCCCGTGTGCCACAGGCTGTGCACGTTAAAGATCCCTCGACAGTTTAAAATCGAGAAAGAGCACGCTAATGCCGCTGTCCTGGCAAAATTTCCCTCATTGCACCCTGCATGGCGTTTCCCGTCTTCATTAGCCCTTATGGTGCAGAAAAGTAGGACGTGAAACTCCATTCATTTCATTTCATTTAATAAAGCCATCAAGGTTCCAGTTTCTTATCGGAAATAATAATTGTTATTACATTAGAATACTAATTGCAAAATATGCTTTATCACATAAGGCCATTTGCGATTAGTGACGTCATCAAACACTTAGTTTTAGGTTTTCAGGAACCACAGACGTTTGATTGAAAATTGGAATGGTGCATATTGATGCTATCAGTGTCCCCGATACACATAAAAGATTTAGAAAACCTCTTTACAATTCCTTTAAGCTAGAAATCTATTGATTATTTGGTCTTAAAATGTTCATATTAATTTTGTCGTTAGTTTCAATTCTTGATTCGAACTTAATGACCTTGTGTTGAACGGTTTGAATTAGGTTTCGGATTTACATAATGAAATTAATGATGAAATCTGGATCACAATAATATATCTTGGAACTTGGAACTTGGAACTATAATGATCAATCTGTTGTTAATTGGTGTTGATATTTTTCAGTGCTGAGAGATTGAAATAAAATCAAGAGTCATCAATTTCAAATCCTTTTAGCACAGACAAGGTTGTTTTGGATTTCTGGAAATATCATCGGTAATTTCTTATTATGGAATATTGAGCTTCTACGGCGATTCTTTTGTGTTTTGAGAAGTTTCCTCGGATATATTCTATATCAAAACTAAGGGCATTTGAAACTGTTTGTGTTCAATATCATATTCTCAACTAACTCTAAAAATGAAATTTTGGAACTATCTCAGCATAATAATTCTTCTAGTATACCACACGTTTTGGATCAGCAGTGCCATCCTGATGGACAGCAACTACAGATCTACCTACACTCATTAGGAGAATGTAAAGCTTCAAAACTCGAAGGTATTGTGGGTGAAAGGCCCAGGTGATGGTTTTTTGGGATTGTTTGAAACTAATAACTCTTAGGCTCTGCTGTATGAGTTCGTTACTGGTGGTTTGCTCAATAAATACACGGCAATAAAAAATAACACCAATGGTGGCTATCGTACATACCCAAACAAGACAGATTTGCTATTGGAGAACTCCAGATTTAAGGCTTTCTGGCTCAGTTGGGGTGACGACTATGTGTGGATTGGATCTATTTTTTGATGGCAGTTTAGGTATAAGACTTTCTTTAGCTAGACGACACACCATTTCACTTAACTTTCTAGCTCCGAGACCAAGGCGTGGAATACCTATAGCATTCATAATGAAACTGGAATGTTCCAAACAGAACAAGTAAATCTAGAATACTCTCCCTTTCGTGATTATTTTGCGAATCGGCCAATAAATAAATAAAAGTTTTGATCTTAATTTATCAAAGTTGATAATTTATATTGACAAGCTTAAAATACTATTAAGACTGAGTTGTGAATAACATTCATTGTTTGATATTAAAGGAATACTACTTCTTAGAATGGACATAAAATTCAAATTCTCAAACTTAGCCAACAAGTGTATATAATCATCAGTTGTACTTACCAGGTGCTATGACTAAAGAATATAATCTCTGAAACGATATATCAATTAAACCTAGCACGCTTCTAAGTATGTTTCAAAATTACTTAGTTTTATGAATTTTTACTTAGTTTTATGAATTTTTACTTAGTTTTATGAATTTACAATCGGTATCACGCAATTTGATTGGATAACAACGGTCACGTGAATTCGGTTTATATCTGTGTAAACGGAATGTAAATATAAGCTCCGCCTTTTAACGGACTACTTTTATCATTGAGTTTGATTGACTTTTGCCACTACACAGCGTCGATGTCTTTCCTTCGAACGTCACCAGTTCCGAAATCGACACATCACTGAATGATTACGGTATTTTCCAAATTCCCTCGAATGTGCATTCTCCAAATATCAACAAAATCATGATTTTTGGACTTATTTCGAACCTTGGCTTTCAATAATTGAACTTTAAATGTGGCCGCTCAGTCAACTTTCAAGCAGTAGACTATAAGAACATTTTTTCAGTTTATCGATGTATAAACAGAAAGAACCAGTATACACTTATGTATAAACCGCTACGCGGATTTATACTGTGTACACAGGTTTTTTCTGTTTATACATCGATAAACTTAAAAATGTTCAGGTCATTCCTTAATTAACAACAAGAAATCTTGGGAGAATTTTCTCAATGTTTAAACCGTTCCGCCTCTAGCATAAAGTTGTTATCGTAAGTTATAGCTTTAAATCCGGCTTTCGATTTTGCTCCAGTCCACTTGTTTTCCCCACCCCGTATAATTATTCCATACACAAAATTGTTAGGGTGGGTTTCATTAAAAAGTCCGATAACTCCATCATTCAGATCATTTTATTGTTCTGATACTGTACGTTATGGAATTCTGTATAAACGTATTTTGATTATTCTGCGGGTAAGTGTATTCATTATCACAATAATCATGAAAATAACACGAGTGGCGTTGTTCAAGTATATTATGATCCTTGAGACACAGCGGAATTCACCATTCAGTGCCGAGTCAGATTCA